ACTACTACTACTACTACTACTCAGTCGCTACTACTCATGTCATTGTCAAAGGACCTAAAGATGGCTCTGAGGGGCTGCCAGCAAGCCAGTCCGCCTGATGACGAGGCTTGGAGCGACGCCTGCCGGAGAAAGGTTAGAGTAGGCTACTGGTTTTGAAGGGTTACAAGGGTACTCTATAATTCATACTGAAGATAATGCAGCTCCCTACAGTATAAGGCCATAGGCTATAATGCAGACACTAGGGGCCTAAATGCTTAGAATAGTGTTTCCTAACAGTAAGACCCTTTTAAGAGCTTCTTTAGGGGCCTACGCGCATGAGTTCGGGATTCACGGGTTTGGGGTCGTCCGGGTTGCATGGGGTTGCTAAAAGGCGAATACGGGCGAAGGGCTTACACAGGCTGGGGCTTAGGTCTGAAAGGTTCACTGAGGCTAGCTTAATTCAGTGGCAAACCCTGAATCTTCAAGGAGGTTTTGGGCAGGCTTTGAAGCTACGTAGTTATAAGGTAGGGCAGAATGCCAGGGTGAGAACTTAGTGTGAGGGCTTTGGGCGATGGGTGTTGAAAGTGGGCATTGCTATGAGGGATATGTATAGGTCACAGGGACGTTTTTTTGGGCCAAAGAAGATAGACTAGTTTTGCGGGCGATTTTCCGGCTTTGCGAAGGTTGTGTGATGATCATCCACGCCCCACAGGATGTTGCAAAGGCTCCAGCCTTTGCACCTCTGGCATGATCACATGAGTTCAGGGTTCGTTTCCGTTCATGATGCTTCCAACCAGAGACATTCTCACACCAACTCGCAAGACCGTGAGCGCACGCTTGAGCTAGGTTCGCCATGCATGCAGTCTTATAAACCCTTGTTGATCCAGGACAAGCATCGAAGCAGGACTGTAGGGCTGTAGAGCTTCAGAGGTCTCTGGGTCTACTAGGGCTAAAACGCAGCGGACGGTTCTATCCACGAGAGTTTACAAGCAGGGGTTGGGCCTGAGCAAACGTTCCTGGAGAATTGCAAGTTAGAGGCTGGCTCGAGCGCCCAACTAAACCCCACCAATGCACACTTCGCAAGAGTACAGCACATACGCCTTCTGATATTTTCAGGAAGATTCACCCATCGACTATGGCTAGGGGGACCATTTCTCGAAGTCTCGAATCTATTATAGTATATATACTATTATATTATACTATATTATACTCTCTTCATGTGGCGCCTAGAGGGGTAGAGGGTGTTCAGCAGGTCCAAGGCATTGGCATCTTCCAGGATCTCTGTGCATACTTCCTGTGGCAGATCCTTGAGAGCTTCTAACACCTTCCTCGGCTGCGCTTTACTATTGAGTTCATGGGGTCTACTGTTCTTCGGGCTCTTCGGGACAATGAAAGGCTGGGGGTCCAGAGTGCTCTTTCGAGCCTTGATAAGAGCCGGTGATGTTTCGAGTAGCCCTACGCATTTTGTCTCTCAGGGTTCAGGGCCTGCTGGGGGTCTACTAGGGGGCTTGGGACAATTCCCACAACAATTGCGGAAGAGTTCACGAAAACTCCAATACGCCTTAGGATGGATTTCAAAGCGTGGCCTTGTCTTATTCAAGATCCCGATCCAAGGGAATATTGAGAAAGAGCAGATTCAGCACCGCATATAAGTCTTCATAAAGGCTTTGAACAACTTCTACTCTCCAGGCCGAGCGTCTTGGAGCCCAAAAGCACTATAGACCAGTTGTAGGAAGCGCCCAGGATGCGTGCACACTCTTGCACGTGCTTTCTGCGATTGAAGTGCCGCCTCCTCATCTCCAGCAGAAAAAGCCAGGCATCCTCAATCTGATGATTGTTGTAGATCGGCGCTTCCAGCATGTCAGACTTGTCGGCATCTAGGCAACCTGGCCAGATCGACCTACGCTAAACTTGGGACCTTCGACAAAACTGGACATTTTCAGGCACTGCGGGTTCTATTCCGGACAGGCTCCTCTTTCTACTTGCTAGGGTCCCACCTTTCCTGAAGAGGGAGAAGACCTTCTCGTGCTCGTTCTCCCAGGCTTTGATGTCATAGTATACCAGAGGAATCCGTCGGATTGCCTCAGCAACTGGGGGAGTTTCATACTCGGGGGACCGTTTACCCCTTCAGCTCCCCAACCGCCGTGGAAGCTTGCGCCTCCAACAACCGCTTGGCGCGCTGTCGCAAGGCCACGTCCTGGACAAGATGCTGAATTATGCAAGGAAAGGTTCTCTGGCTGAGCATCCCAGCCAACTCTCTTCCCCGCCCAATCACACTTGCAGCATTTCGCCGTGCTGCACTTTGCCAAACTGACTCCTGCTCAGTCAGAGGAGGTGGCCACCATTCGCCATCTTGCTCGTCGTCGAAGCCTTAACAACTCAGTTTCATGGGCCACATCATAGCTGCATGGCTTTGCAAACAATTTGAGGCCTAAGCTGTTGCTTCTTTGGCGCGACAGCTTCTCGGCGTGCATGGCCACGGCAGGCTGCCGTCAGCGACGACACTCCATGACGTTGGGGCTTCCGCTGCGCTGCGGTTTTAGATCGGAATGTCGGCTCAAGAGTCTGATCATGGTATTAGAGGTCTGTTGATAAAAATATCTCAAGGCTGCTACCTGTAGGAACTTATTTACTTGCTCTTGCAAAATCTGAGAAAGACTTTTGATTCAGTTACAGAGCATCAGAAGTTGGAATTCATGGGCTTACAGGTTCAAAAGACTAGAGTTTAGCACGTTTTGGGAATTTGCGATTTTGTTGTGCCCTTGTGTGTCATGCGACGACTGTGTGGCCTTTGCCACAGTCCGCGGGTTCTTCAACCGCTTCGCGGTGGAAAATCTGGGCAGAAAAGGCTGCTGTCACGTGTTGATGGAACTTTGGGCCAGCAAGGTTAGTTGGCACCTCTGAAGAGGTCTGAGCACTCACTGTGTAGCACACCATCTTGCTTAGCATTTCGAAACACACAACTCTCAGCCCCCAAGCACTTCGGCCCCTGAGCACTAAGCACTGCACAAATATCTCCCGAATCTCCCGATTTGGAGGCCGATGAGTCCTTGTACCAAGTTGCATCCACTTCCTGCATACCCAGCAGGTCTGCGCGGAAGGTGCTGACCTTCCCGGGCTTCCAAAAGTCGAGAATGCAGAAACGACGTTGCGGAGACTCATGTTGAATCACTTCTATGTGCGTCAGAGAATGGATAACCCAAGCCATGAACGCAAAGCCCCACCTTGAGAAGATAAAGCACCAAATAAATCCCAAACCAATGCGCAAATCACTAGGATCCCAGCCCCAATCCTGACCGGGTCTCAACCTGAATGTTATCCCGACCTAAGCATTGAATTCCGAAAATTTCCACATGCCGGCCTCCTGGCGAACGAGTTGCAACCTGCAGCGGCTTGGGACGAAGAAACTCGGAGGGCAAGGGTGCAAGGCTCGATGGTGATATGGGTAGTTCTCTAAATTGCGGTCCCTCTTAAGTCCCCAATATAGTACGGCACCCTTATGGAAAGGACCCCAAAAGGGACCCTAGTTTAGAAAACTACCCAGTATGGGAAAGATCTTCTCCGGGACGCGGGCTTGTCGGGTTTGGTTGTATGGTTCAGGGTCGGACAGTGGCTTGTCGGTTAGCAGCTGATCTTCGATCTCCCGCTTTGTCGGGACATCTGGGCCTTGTTGTCGCAGGCACGACAAACATTGACCACTGCCTGCATGGCAAGAAACATCAGTCCTATGTTTGCTTGCGGAACCCGAAGGTCATTGCGACGATTATTGCCGTCGCTGCTGTCGCTAATTCTGCTTCTGGATACGCATATTCATTACACTTATTACGACCGCTACATGGCTACACTTACTCTCCCTGTTTTTAGCGCCGACATTGTTTGTTCCTTCATCTTCATAAACCCACATCCCAAAACCCCAGCCCTAAAAGCTCGAAACTCTTAACCCCCAAAGCCCTGAACATCTCCAAAATCCGAAGCCCTAAACCCTAAACCCTAAAATCCGAAGCCCTAAACCCCAAACCCCTAAACCCCTAAACCCCCAAACCCTAAACATCCGAAGCCCTAAACCAGGCCTCTGCTCCGGCCGCAGCATCTCTGGTTGGCAGTAAGGGAACATCTGGTCCCAGCAATGCCTGCAAGGGCTCAGGGGGTCAAGCGCTTAAAGCTCGAAGGCTTTAGCGTTTTCAGGTGGTTTTGGGCGTTTATAGGGAGCTGCTTACATAGGGTTTCTGTTTCTGAAGAACGTCGATGCGACAACTGTTGTTTCTTGGAGAGTTTAGCCTCAGCAGCTGCTTCCTGCAACACGAAGCTCACCACGGTTTCTGCAAAATGCTACAAGAGTTTCCTATACCGGGCACTTGGACACCCCCAAACTTGAAAGCAACAGAATTAAGCAGTCGTGTTTCTGTCAGCAGGCCTGTAGCAGTCTGCGAGCGCATTATAGCTCACGACACGGAGAGTTTTCGGCGCTTTGTCCTGCCACAGGTAAGCATGAATGCATCTGCTCCATCGCGCTGCCAAGGAAACTCTCTGCTTGTCGGAGGAAGGCTTGACAGCATAGGTCATACGCTATCCGAATCTGATAACCACCAAGTAAATCTCTACCTCTCGAGGTGCACGAAACTTTGCTTGACCTTGGCTGTTGCCAAGCTGTCCTGGCTCTCCAGCCATGTCTGCAGTTGGGCATCCATCGCCTGATAGTGCAGCACAGTACAGCACAGCACTGCACGGCACAGAACATGATCTATGATTTAGAGGGACATCCCTAAAGCAGGATGGCAAATAGAGTTTACCAGCAGGGTATTTTGAGGGTCGTACACTGCAGGCATTAATGAGGACTGCTATGCTGAGCCAACCTTCTGGCCAAATCCCTGCATGCAAATTTTGTTTGGCAGCCCCCCTTACAGGGGACCCTTTAAATCACTTGCCAGAACAGTATTGTAGAGCCTGGTATGGCATAGCTTAGTATCGTCAAAGCAACGTCTTGTCTCGGCCTTCGCATGTAGAGCAAGGCTAGTTACGTTTGTTTCACGTCCGCTGCCCCTGCATTGGCTTTAGAATGAGCCATCGGTGCTTCCTTGAAGCCTCAACTTCGTGTTGTGGACACAAAGTGCAAAAATGCCGGTTGTTTTATTTTGGAACAAGAGACCCAACACGAGATGTAACATGCGTAGGAACTTCTCCGGAATATTCAAGCTGCTGGTTGCAGGTTCCTGACTCACGAAGCAAGTTGCAAGACGTTTCAGCTTTAGGCGGATGCTCAGCACGACATCTAACTCACCAATATTGCCAATATGTCAGAAGCCGCGATAAACCAGCCGTCGTCAACAAGGCAAACTAAAGTTGCCTTGAGGCCAAAGTTTCAAGCACTCATACGACCCATACCTTTAGGGGACTCTTGTCTTCCGCCTGCCTGGCTGCGCGCATCGCACTGCCCCGGCAAAGCCGCCTGAGGCTGCACCTCTGGCAGCTCCAGCTGGGCACTTGCCTCCATGGAGATATCCGGTTAAGCGCGTATGGCTTACGACTTACGCTGCATCGTCTGAGCCTTCCCTGAACGAAGAACAAAACCTCCAGAGCACTGCAACCCCGATAGCCCCACCTGTCCCCAGACAGACTTTTAGTGCCTATTTAAAACCCTAAACCCTAAGCCCTAAACCCTGCACCCTAAACCCTAAATCCCCCAATTGACCTCCAAGTCATCCACACCCAGGAGGAGACTCGTCTTCGCATCGGCTGCCAAGGGTGGCCGTGCGATGACCTCCAAAGCCTGGCCGACATCCGCCTCGACGAGGACATTTTAAGACTTCTTTAACTCAGGATATATATATACACACTATAGGATATCATATTATGTTAATTATAGTATAGTATATTCATTATATATACTATACGATATCATATTATGTCAATTATAGTATAGTATACTCATTATATATACTATACGATATCATATTATGTCAATTATAGTATAGTATAGAAAGCCTTGTAGAAAGTGAGCGAGGGATATTCTGCTCACAGTACACTTCTATGCAGCATGAGCAGCTTACACCTTGGTAGGCAGTAACTTGCTGTGGTAGCACTCAGAAGAGCCACGGTGGCAAAATTGAAACCAGAGCAACCGAAAAGTTTGTTCAAGTGCCACATGCTACTAAACGCGGCACTAATTGTGTGGCTAATGTACTGGATGTTTACTGACAGGACTGAGCTGTCGCCGCCTCAGTTGGTGTATAGCAATGCTCACGGCCCACCAGCTCACCACCGGCGCGCCACTCCCAGCGAAGCTTCTGCGAATCGCAAAAACCTCACAGACATATCAAAGACGCGCAAACTCTCCAACTGCGAGCTTCAAACTCTCAACCGCCTCGAAGATGCATTTCCTGAAATGTATACCGCACCGAACGCTCAACTCTCCGATGTCCTGTAATGCACTCGTCCCCACATGTTGGCCCTGCATCTTCTCATGTCTCGATAGGATCAGCAGAACCCCGGTGGCCCGAACTGAGAGTCCAGAAAACCACTAGAGTACACCGGTAAATGGAACAGCAACCCAACCTGAACCCCTTGTAGACCTCTGCGCGGAAGCCTCAGTAGACTGACTGATGCTCTGGAAGTTGTAAAGCTCCCGAAGCCATGAGACGCCAATAACCCAAAAACGCGAAGTCCTCTGTCATTAAGGTCTATACAGGGCCTCAGAAAATCAACGAGAAGCTCTAAGGAACACCAAACACCTCCAGAACTCCGACTCCTAAATGCATCCATCTTAGCCGCACAGCGCCACAGGATCTATAGACATCCTATTTTTATTCCCCCCAAAAAAGTGCTGCACTCTTGGGAAAACTATCCAAAAAAATCACTCCGACGCCGAGGCGCAGCCCTCTGCCACGGCCGCAAGGCGGAGCCCTGCTCTGGGCCTTCCACGGCAGGTCACCTGAGCTTTCAAGGGACTGGAGTTTTGAGGGCTTAGGATTATGTAAGGGTTTGAGCCCTAAGCCCTAAACCCTAAGTTTAGACTTGAGGGTGTTGAGGGTGTTGAGGGTTCAGGGTCTTTAGGGTTGAGGATTGCCGGTTGAGGATCGAGGACTTTGAGAGATGTTGAAGTTTGAGGACTTGGGGCTTGGGGTCTTGCGGGCTGAGGGTTTTGATCCTGAGGTTGCGAATGCTTCGACTCATTTAACTGAGTAGAAGAGTTAGCGCCAGATTTTTGGGGAGGTTATCAAGTAGTTCGGTGTTGAGAGTTTTAATGCCTTGGTGGCCTTGGGTTTTCAAGATCTGAGTGGAAACTTTCGGCAAGACCTCGATGTGTGATTGAGAAGTTCCTTTTTGTGAAAAGCTTGCCGCCATCCGTCCAAACTTGCGATTGTCATCATGCAGTTCCCGGGTCGCAGCATTTGAACCGCCACGCCGGCCTGTTCTCAGAAGTATAGCTCAGTGCAGCCCAGGGGCATGACGTGCCATGGGTCGATTGACGCGCACGCGATAGCTCTCCTCACCTTGAGCTTCGCTTTTGGAGAAGGCTTGGGGTATACTGTTGATGATACAAATCCTGCGTTACCTTAAGGACCCTAAACTATGGGAACTATGGTATAGTCCTGATTCTGGGTCATGCAGGATTTATATCATCCACCGTAGGACTCTAGGAGATTGTGTGGAGAAGTGGAGGAAGGAGGCATACGAGGGGGCCATTTGTTGAAATCCGCAGCTCGAAAGGCCACTGAGGGCAGGACCTACAAGCAGGATTGCTGCCTGTGTCTCCAGGGCAAACGCCTGTTCCAGCTGCAACGACCCGTCCAGCGGCTGACCATCATTGGTCCTCGCTTGCTCTAGCTATAATTTTAAAACTGAAATCCGGAACTCGACAGAGGTTCTGAGTTGTTTAACGAAAAGGGCAGCGCTCAATGGAGCCATCGTGTTCATGAGCACCCAAGGCACAGCAGACTGGTGGTCATCGGCGCCTTCGGCGGTTCAACCTCGGTGCCATGCCAAGCTTCTAGACTCAGCCGGCTTGTAGAACCACACCCACTGTCTGGTCTCTATCTCGAGAGCCTGCAAAGGAGCCAGACTCAGAGCAGGATCGTGCTTGAGTGTGTGATACACCGGTCAATGCGATGAAAACATGTGGAGCATACTTTTAGCAGTGCATGCCGCGACCGAACCAGACCAAGGACAATTCGTCTGCCATCAACACGGTAACCTAAGCCCAAGGTTCCATCGTCGAGCTCTGCCAGATCTAGTCTCGAACTGTAAAGACAACTGTCTCTCCTCCGAACCCACGTTCCCATGTTTCGACCATTGGGGCCCAGCAAAACTAAACCTTAAAGGCATTTGGTGAAAGCCTTCAGCTTAAAAGCAGCTGTTTTTGCCGACCAGGGGCCTTCTTCTCCTCCACCTCTTTGTGTTGCTTCCGCTGCCTCCATCCACGCCGCTTGGCCTTTGTGTTGGACCTGAGGAAAGGACGGTCACATCGGCATCTGGTTGGTGTCATGTGCAAGACTTGCAGAAGCACTACGAAGGAACCTTCAGTCGCTTTTTGCGGTGAAGATCGGTGAAGGCGGTTGGCATGTCGCTTGCACCCTACATGCAGGTCTGGGTGGTGTGGCGGACGGTACAAATCACAAAACTTCTAAGTCACGTCGAGTGGCCCCTTCTGCAATGTCAGGGACATTCGCATGAGGGTCTTCTCCAGCAGCTGGTCACGAGGACGGTTGAACATGCGAGAGTCGCCATCTTTGGGCCATCTCATTCTAATCTGCACATCTCCTTCCTCCTCACAAAGAACATCCACCACCTCAGCTAGGCAGAAGAATCCTACGATACTTGTAGACCATGGAATTCTCGGCTCCACTTGTAGTCCACGAGAAAATGAAATCCTGTATTTTGAAACCTTTCTGTCTGTAGGCCGCCTTTAGGCCTACGCACCAACGGACACCCCCGTCGCCATCCGAGATTCCTCCAAGGACTCGATGTCCACGGCCCGCAGTGTGGCCCGCAACCGCCGCTGCTGACTTCGTGCCAGGGCCGTGATGGCCAGTGCCAACGTTGCTGTGCCACAGAGTGGTCGCCCCTGGGCGGGTTGGGAGTCTGAATGGTGTCTGGGCATTCTTGGCATCAGGGGCCGTGCGATGCTCGAAAGCTTCCCTTGCTTGGGCATTCAAGGCACTCCTACCTGCAGCAACTCCGAGGCTCACAGAGCTCGAAGCCGAAACGCAGTCTTTGGCCCAGCCTGGCCTCGACCCTTCGCAGATTGCTCGGTTGTGGCGGGGCACGGCGAGGAAACGACAACGGCCACAGGCAGCCGGACCGTGGAACCAAACGGATCCCCACTTCCGGCGGGCGCAGCGCCCACATTGTTGCCGTCGACTTTTATAGGTTTACAACAAACGCGTTTTTTGCAAGACTATGTAGACAGGGACATTTGGAAAGGACAGGCTTTGGGAACCTGAAACTCGTAAAGCTATTCGCTTCCTGGAAGGAACTGCCAGGCTCAAGCACGCATGCGTGCTTTTGAGCAGCCAGCGACAAAGATGAGATCGGGTGCGAATCAGGCAACTGCATTTGAGGTCTGTCTCTGCATGGACAGTCGAGTGAATGGGCGGCCCACCGTTGTGGCGCCGACACGACGCAGGGAGCATTCATCATCAGCGAGCGCGATGGCCAAATACTCCTGACCGCGCCATCTCGAAATGCCATGGAAAAGCCTTGTACATGGAGAAACCCATCGTGAAGTGCTGTCCGCCGCGTGCACTCCCAACAGTGAAGCCTTTTCACCGTCCTTCTTGCAATCGTCCTCGTGCCACTGCTCCTCAAGTGATAGAGGCTAACATGAGGTTGCCTGCATGTTCTGGCACTGCCTGGCACGACACCGAGAGATTCAGATGAGACAACAGATGCCATGTGTTTCAGTCGGTCAGACATGTTGCGCAAGGCCTGGAATCTAGAAGCTCCAGGATTGGCCGGACGTGGCTATTACCATGGAGCAACACAAGCTGTCAACATGATGCAACGCATGTTCTGAGCTGAGGCGCTCGCAGCACAAGCTTTGGCAGCCGCCTTCACGAGAATTGTATTCACACGGACTTACATGTATGAATGTATGAAACTGTAGGAAGGATGTGGGAGTGCCCTAACATGGCCTGGTATGTTCACATGCAAACCGTCCAAGGCTTTTCTCCTACTTGTCGCGGCACTTCGACACAACAGGATGACAGCTACTTCTCCGCAAGAGCCTTCGTCTTGGCACACAGGACGATCCCGCTTGTGGTTTGATCCTTGTCACGTGAAAAAAACCAAGGCAGAATCCGAGGAACACCTAACGCGGGTGCAGCTGAACTAGGTCCCGTGCCAAGCGATGCAGCATCATTGGTGCCGAGGTCTGCCTTCAGTTGAAAGGCCATCTGAGATGGACGACCCTCCGTGTGTAAGAGAGCTAAAGGCCATAGTAATTACATGGGAGCCGTCTTTCAGAATCCGAAGCTGACTGGGCAACTGCAGTCTTACACCCCTCTGTCATCCCTGACCTCCAAGACCATGGTCACCAGAACCCTGGTGCTGAGCCTTCACTTCATCGTGTCTGAGGGTCGAACTGGCCTTCCCCCATGGACTGCAAGTAGCCCAATATCTCAGGATCCACGTGTGTCGAGCTCGGAAGCTGGAATCAGGGTCTAGAGGTCATGGATGTGATCTGCGGCGCCTCTTTAGCCACAGGAGTCTTTCCGCCAAGTTTGCAGTATCACTCCAGCAAGAAGTAACATGACAATACGGTTGGGGCTTCCATGTCATCGGCAGCTAGCAAGAAACGCAAAAGCATGCGGATCCGGCTGACATCTTGCCAAGATAAAGGCCCTATAAACCCAAAACCCAAAACCCTGCACAGCTAAAGTGCGAGGCTGCCACCTGACTCGTGAGCGACTTTCCCACAAACCTGCTTGGCACAGACCAATGCAGGGTTCTACATAGGATGTTTAGGACGTCTGCCACTTGCGAATTTGTGCAGTAACTGTGTCGGCCAGACGCAGCTGGGAGAGAACACGCAGATAGTCGACTGTGACGAAAACTGTAGATCTTTTCACTATATTCACCACATCTTTAATTTGCTTCCTAACTTGCACTTCGTCATCCATCGAGGTTTCCTCTCGATCACCCCAAACGCAAATCCCTGAGGTCACTGATTGCACGAAGGCACCTGCCTGTGGACAGGCGTGCACCGGAGGCACGGCGGCTTCGAAACCGCCAGCAGGGACTCATCCTGCTCAACTGCTCATGGGGGACGGGAGCTGCCACTGCTTGATCTTTCTTGAGTGGGGCAGCAGGTCAGCAGATAAATGCTGTACCTTGGGGCCTTGTGGTTAGTTAAGTCGGGTTTCGCGAAGCTATCGCAACGCCTACTGCTTGTGCTGAACCGAAACAAGAACCTTGCAACACTGTCTTTGGATTCCGGGGTTCTGGGCTTGCACAAGTCTCGGGTGTTCAGCTTGTAAACTCCGTTCAGGCAGGTTGAGCTTCACACTGAAAGGTGAGAATGGAAAGTTCATGGAAGGGGATAGCTCCTGTCAGTCTATAAGATTTCCGACAGCATTGCAATGCTTGCGAGCGACTGGGACCTTGTTAGAGATTCGTCAGACACAACCCTGCAGATGAAATCTAAAGCAACCCGGGTTCAGAACAGCGTATTGGTGAAGAAGATGACGGCTGGGGTGATGGTTGAAGATGCTGCAACTGTGGTCGCAGGCATGAAAGTGCGTCCGCACTGTTTCTAAAGTGAGAATATTCCCAGCTGTTCGGATGGGAACCAGCATACACATATAAAGTATAGTAGCGTTTCCTCTCAGCAACATTCGCGGCATCTTGTTTGTGCCGCTTGTCTAAGACCAAAGCTCTGAAGACTGGAGTGTGGGGCGCACGCCTCGTAGATCACGACCAAATCCTGCAACATCCAGAGGCCAGGAGCAGGAGTTAAGTACGTTGCGGCTAAGTGCAGGCGGACTCAAGCTGTAGTGGCGAAGCTGTCGATTGCAAGAGCTGCCGAATCACAGATGCTCCTTTGGGTCGTCTGCTACCAATGGAATGCTCCGCAAGGCTGTGCGGACCAGGTTCAACGCGGCCTGCGACAGAATGCAGCTGGGAAGCATAACACCGAAACACCGCCAAAGAAGGTGGACGCCAAGAAAGGGGCATGCGAAGGTTGTTCCAACGTGCTGCCTGCAACACAAGGGTGCCTGTTTGATGGTCAACCCAACCTTGACAACCATGCCTTCAATGGGTTGGAAAAAGGGGGCAAATCGAATCTGTTCGAGTCATGCCGAATCCCTGAGCCTTTCCTAGTGCACGACGAGTTTGACAGCAGATCACAAGTTCAGAAGCTGGGCACATGCGCCGGATGTATGTATTTATGTATGTACGGATGCATGTGCCCTTTTTTGTCTGTATGCATACATGTATGCAGGCAAGCATGTCTGCCTGCGTGAATGCATGCATGGATAGATGGATGCATGGATGTAACGTATGTCTATATCCAATCTATATGTATATAACTGTGTATATAACAATTTATATACACATACAAATGTGTATATGTCCTTGTATATGTATAACATATAGGCATATGTAATGTAAGCATGTATGCAATGCAATCCTGCATGTATGCATTTGTGATTTGCACGCATGCACGTGTGCCCTGCACCCTGAGTGTGTGCGCGTGCCGGTGTGCCTGTGTTTGCACGTCCAGATGTACCCACCCCACATGCCTGGTTGCACAACCATAAAATTTCTTTTCACGTACTCGCGCGTGCGCTCGCTGCGAGTCGACAGCGCTCTGCGAAGGCCACCACTTCCGCCGCATACTGTTCCTGAAGAGTTGAAGGGTTCGGGGCTTGAGGGATCGACAGACTTTTCATGCAGTTACGGTGCGCAGGTCTCCGGCGATGGGCTTAGGCTTGGAGGTCTAGGGCTTGATAGTTTTGGGTGCAGAACTGTGACACCGTGGAGAACCATTGTGTTTAATGTTTGTGGGTCGTTCCGCGAGATTCTGGACCGTGAATGTATACATGCTATTCCGTAGGATGTTCCATGCTCTTTGAAGTGTGAACACAAACATGCAGCAAGCGGCAGGTGTAAACCCTTGAAGCAACAAGCCCGCAAAAGCCTTCCTGGTGCTAACCGCACTAGCCAGAAGACTGATCTCCCCACAACAATCCGAAGATAACAACTGATTAGTCACCGGCAAGCGATGCAAGCCTGAATTTCTCACTTCTACAGCGGAGTCTCGGCATGCTTCTGGAAGTGGCAGACATGTTGCGATCCAGCAAACTTCTTGGAGCTCATCTGCCCCTCACCTCTGGCAATCTGCACGAACAGGCCCTGCACAACTACACAACGGATTTGACCGTACAACATCAGATCATCACGTGTGCAATGCACGCACTACTCTGCAGTGGACCTCGGCCACCCAAATTACCCTAAACCCTAAACCCTAAACCCTATACCCTGTCATCGTACTAGAGGTTTCCAGAACTTCTAAGACACATCCGTCTGATATCAGGATGTGAAACATGCGCAGGCGAGCGGCGGGTGCTCCTCTTCATAAAATCTTCCACCGCAGCTGCTTTGATCAAGCTGTCCGTAGAGGAATAAAGAAACAGCCTCGGCCGGCGGCTTTCTGCAACCACCGCCCACTTTTGTTATGTCGTTGTTAGCGTCAAGTCCTTCCTACCAGCCAGGAAGCAGACCGCCATCAACAACCCTGATGTAAATCGAGCAACACTGGCACGTCCTCCTGCAGCAGAAAATCTGAGATTCTTGCAATCTCGACCTGCCAGGAATTGGAGGAGGGGGGGCGAAATGGGGTGATTAGGGAGATACACAGCAGGTACCTCGCCGCACCTGGCGGCTGTTGAACGGTGGGCTCTCGCAGCATGGGAACTGCTTGGAGCTGCTTGGGTGCCTACTGCGCGACAGCCTTGATAAGCATACAGACTTCCCTCGTGTCAGATGAGGCTACTAGAATACAACGGCAACAGAATAGACACGCCGGCACACACACACACAGAGAACTCCGAAGCCGAACCCTCTTTCCGGCTGCATTTCAGCGCCCGAACAGAGAGTGCTAATGGCTTTGGCAAAAATTTAAACAGCCCAAGGTCATGCGTTCTGTCTGCTCGTCCTTCGAAGCTGTTTTGTTGAAGACTTCGAGCTCACAGGAATGAGAGTTGCCAGTTTGGGTAGTTGAGGGCTTCAGGAACGACAAACTAAAAGGGAATCCTTTCTCGCAGGATTCATCCCTGCAGCTTTTGCTGCCTCGTGCCTTAACCCCACAGCACAGCAGTAACCACAAATGTCAACAAAGCTGAAACCTCAAAATGGCTGCAAAGCAGTGAATCTTCACCCCCCCCCCCCCGATATGAACAATGATCAAGCCCTAAACCCCAAACCCCATAGCTCTAAACCCTAAACCCTATAAGCTCTAAATCCTATAAATCCTAAACCCCAAAAACAACTCGCAGCGCCGCTTTCTTGCCGGCCTTTGAGACTTGGAACTTCCGCAAAGCCTCCAGGTCTTTTGCCTCCAAGGCCTTGCCGGCATAGTCGGCCACGACCTCTTTGGCCCAAGAGGAGCGCTTAGGGTCTTAGGGTTTATAGGGTTTAGGGCTTATAGGGTTTAGGGTTTACAGGGTTTATAGGGTTTAGGGTTTATGGGGCTTAGGGCTTAGAGTCCCTAAAGTGTGGGGATGTAGGATTTTCCAAAGTACTGGATCCCGCTGAGTTTTGGTTTTTCAAGGTCCTCCCAGGACCGGGAAATGCCCTCGGGATTGGGGGTTGTGGGGGTTGAGGTTCAAGGGTTTAGGGATTTAGGGGTTTAGGGTTTAGAAGTCTGCAGGTTTTCAGACGAGACCCCTACTATAGTAGGAAATGAATCCGAAACTCCATCACTACTAGCCGTCCAGCAGTCTGTCAGGGGAGGAAGGACATACAAAAGTATACAGCCCCCCTGCGAAACACTAGAGACACAAGTACTGTTGATGATCGAGATCTTGCATTACCTTAAGGACCCTAAACTCCTAAACTATGGGAATGATGGTAAATTCCTTATTATGGGTACTGCAGGATTTATAAAATCAACCGTAGCAAGTGAGAACTCCTTCACCCGTGTTGACCAGTCCTCTGAGTTTGGGTCTGAAAACAGAGGTCTCAAGGCTCCAGCTTTAGGGCTTAGGGTCTAAGGTTGAGGGTTTAGGGTCTAAGGGTTAGGGCTCTTTCTCCTGAATTGCCACCTGCAGCGAGTCTGCTTGCAAGCTCTACGCCATTGCAGTGAACCTAGAAACACATGTCTTCGAGTGTGTGTGTGTGCACTGCACTAGATGAGTTGTTCGGAGCGGCTCGCAAACCTGTAGGCCAACTGCAGACGCGGAGCTGTTTGCATGACCTCGGCGCTCATGGCATCTCCTGCAAGGTGGCAGCAGGCACAAAAACCACTCCGAAGTGTATTTTGAGGACCCAATAAGGATCGCTTGGAACTGAGCCTGATCTCGTCATCATGCTGCAAAAGGCAATTCCTAGAGTTCTTTCGTGGCTTTCGCTGTGTCTCACTAGACCTGCAGAGTCTGAACCTCACACGAATTCTGGTCATGGTGTGACCTAAACACGTATGCAGGTGCGTTGAACCGGAATTTTGCACAGGGTTTTAAGATGTAAGTGTGGCCCATGTGATCCCATGTGCCTCGATCCGTGTTCGCCAAATAGCCCCGCTCAGATCCACTCGGATCCACCACCGATGGAACGGGGCCCTGGTCCTGGATGCGGTCCCCAACAATTAGTGGGCCGACGACGTGAAAGGCAGTCAAGGCTGCCTCAGGACGTCCCCCAAGGAAAACGCCGTGAACCCTGCAGAGCGCGCGAATGCAGCCATTCACCACCATGTTCATCAACATCGGGCTGACGCAGGCATCCGGCGCCGAGTCCAAAATGATTCCAGAGAGCCGCCAAGGTCTACTTTCTCGCGTTTGCTGCAGCAACTCCTGAAGCAGATAGACGCCATTGTTCGAAAACACGTGCACCAGGACATCGCAGTCGGATGGCAAGAACGCACTGATGGCATCGAGCTGCTTCTGCAACTCTTTCGGGCAGAAAGTCGTCGCCAAGGTGGGGTACCCCTTGCCTTGCCACCACTTCTGGGCCGGTTGCAGCTGAGCTTTGCTGGAACCGCCCCAGCCCAAGATCAGCACGTGCACACTGCCTGGTTGCGGCGTGTCTGCTGCAACCGCCCCAAGGCCAGGTGAAACTCCCCAGTCAAAGAGGAGACTGGCTGCCTTGTCGTGTCCAGATGCAAGCGCATCGAGCAAGGCCGAAATCAGCTGCCTGATTGTTGCAGCAGTTTCAACATGTACTCTGCTCTGCTTTCTGGTGCCACAGTTTATACTCTTTTCTTGCAGGTAGCAGCCTGAATTACAGACCAGTGTTTGTCTGCTGCCGTTGCTGCTGCCGCATGCACCGCTAGCAATGCTTCATCAACATGGATCATCTTGCGAATGTTCACAAGAGCTTGACATGGTACGGCACCTGTGCAGCCCTGGGTGTCAATCTATAAATCAGCGATCCAGAGAGAGTGTGTACTCCAAACCGGCGAACTCCTCCAAAATTGCTTTTCCACATCAAGTCCCTAAGAGACCACAACCCCGCCTCGGCAAAAACTCTTGCACCGAAACAACAACCCCGATTTTGCGCACCGGGACGCTTCTCTGACCCACTTGCGGCTGCCTCTTGGACGTCTGACCAGGAGAAAACTCCTGCGTGATGGCACAAGATTTTGCAGGCGGTGTACTGCTTACTGACAAGATCAAGATCAACATTCGAGTCTGCATCCGCTGTGCCGGCAAATCAATCTCCCTGCTGAAGCTGCAACACACTTGCAAGTGTTCCGGGTCTGAAATGCATCCGCAACCGCTACCAGCAAACTTTCCAGCGGCCTTCAGCAACTTTGGCAAATGCAGCAGCCATGCCGGCCGCTAGGAAAATTGCGAAAGCCCAGGTTGGTTGAAGAGGCCTTTCCTCTCCCACTCTGAGCACTAAAACAATCTGCAGCATGGGAGTTCTGCTCGGATCTTCAGGGAAGCTCTACAAATATCAGTGGTCGTCAGCATCATATCGGCACTGCTACCTCAGAAAGAACAACCCGACTATGCAAGCAGCGGGAGCAGATTCGAACGCCGCGAACGGAATGAACAGAAAGGGTTGCAGCACGAACCCTAAACCCTAAACCCTAAGCTTACAGTTTCATGCCCTGCCTCCGGCTTACCACGGTATTTGCCACCAAGTTCTTCGGCAACCTGGCGCATCCCGCTCCAGAAGCCAAGTGAAAAGGGTTTGGTCTTTAGACTCTTGGTTTAGCGGGCTTGGGGTGTGGGGCTCGGCTTAGCGATCTGGCTTTGAGGGCATGGATTCGAAGCTTCTGGCCAAGTCCAGGCAAGAAGCTTCGAATCCATGCCAGGGTGCAAGATTTCGGTTTTGGAACTTTGATGAAGTCTCGCACTCCGTCTCCTGCATTGCATGGCTGCGGCACCAGCAGGCAACGCGGATAAGTGCTGCTGTCACAACAACCTCACCCGTTGACAACTCGCTGCAAAATCTTGGTCTGTTGAACCCGACAATACATGCATTTAGCGAGCATGGCACTTAGGGCGCGAAGGTAAGGGCCTTAATAATTAGAATAGAGTTCTGGGGGTTCCTTATTATAGCTATAATGTAAATACTATCCCAAGCCCTATTCTGATTATTAAGNNCCCCCCCCCCCCCCCCACACCCTATTTTAATTATCATGAGGCTCTCTTTTAGTAATTTCGCCACAAAGCACGAATCTGATCTGGCCTCTGCCGGCGTTCGGCGCACCCCACCTCCGAGCCACTTCTCAAACAGAATGATTGTCCGATAATGTCCGATACATACATATATACATATAGATAGATAGATAGATAGATAGATAGATAGATAGATAGGGTTTAGGGTTTGTTTAGGGGTATATATACTCTGCCCTAGATGAACAAACCTGTGGCTCATATACTCTAGCAGAACGCATATCGTTGACAAGTTCTCCAATCTTGAACACTCAGCATGTTACTTGCTCTGCTCTTGGTAAATCGATGTACGCGAATCTGCAAAGTAGTATGCCATGCAACTCAAGCATAGGGTAGTGTATGTTAAAATCTAAGCCAGCGGCTTTCATGGGGCTTGCAACAAAACTGTTTCCAGTTGCTATGCATGCATGGATTTGCCAGAAATAAGGATGGCTGCACTGCCTGTGCGAGTTATGAAGTTTGGCATAAGGTTTGGCTCCTAGTCTAGTTTGCAGCATCAAGTGTGCAAGACGAAAAGCAGGCATTCTGAGGCATTCAGGGTTGAGGGGCATCTTTCGCACTTGGCCAAGGCATGTTATGCACAAACGCGGGCGATTGAAGATCCACAGCGAGAGCCTGCGGCCTCAGCCCTCCATTCGTGCTAAGCCTGTCTTGAAGGTGACTGGTCATGTGCTCTGTTGCTAAGACTAAGGCTTCCAAGTAGACTCAATGCGTTATGGCCAAATTTAAATGTGGTTGCTTTACCTGCCGACAGATCAAAAAGCAGCAGCTCCATCCACACAAAGGTCTGCCTCTGTCTGCCCCAAACCGGAGCTCCAGAGATCGTCGAAGGAGTGGGTCCTCCGAGTGCTGCTTTTCGGGATATTCTTGGATTTGGGCTTCATGGAGAAATATGGAGCTGATTTGTATGCGTTCACACTGATTCTCGGTGTTGGGCTTCGGGCTTCGGGCTTCATGCTGTATGCTTTGTCCCCTGATGACAGAGGACATAGCAGCCCCTCTCGATTTTGGCCATTCCGTTAAGGGAGTGTAAGGCAATTGCTTGCAGCACGTTGCTGCCCAAAGCCCAAATGGGGGTTTCCGAAAATAGGGGGACCTTAATATAGTACCCTAAACAGCAGGATCCTTATTATAAGGACCCCAAATTCAGGTACCCCTTATTTACGGAAACTCCCAAACCCAGCAAGCTTGCCGCGAGTGGGCTCACTTGCACAAGCATTCGGAGCAAACGTTTGACAATGCAGCATGCAGGTGTTTACGCGGAACAATCGCGAATGAAGAGGCGTCAAAGGAAGGGGCAAACACAAAGAGTTCGATTTAAGCAAGATAACGAGTTTTTGTGAAGTCAACTGACTGATCTCAGCATGCTTACCGGTCTTAGGGGCATTTCCGATGAAGTCTAAAGCGGAAACAAAACTGAGACTTGATGTTTATGCAGAACCTGCAACTTTGATTAGCTGAGTTCAGAGAGCCACTGGCCTGAACCGCCGCGAAGGATTTCAACGCAGCATCCCGGACCTGTCTGGTGGAGATCTCGTATCTTTCGCGGTTCCGGGATGTGAGCCCCAAGCTTTGGGATGTCACTGCTCATTCAAACTTCGAGCATGGTGCGACCTGTGCTCATCACCTAGACTGGTGAGGCCACTCTGTTAATGGTTCCTTCTCGGTGTTTGGTTCGTCCTGTCCGATTAGATGCTGTGCGAGCCCAGTATGCAAACGTGAGACATGAAGCGCAGGCCTCCTCCTCACTGATCCAGTCCTCTCACTCCGCACAAGATCGACGAATGGTAAGCAAGACCACGGTGAAGTTCTAGTATGTGAGATATGGCAACGATGCTCCGTTAGCCTCTTAAATGCAGTTGCTGCAGCGATTTTAAAGCCAGTGACACATGCCTGAATGACAAAGTTCATCAGGGGTCTGTACTATAGCACTGTAGCTTACACTTTTGCTCGCAACCTCATCAATGGTCGGTATTGCTGCGGCAGAAGCAGCGCAGCAGCAGCAGGAGCGGTACACGAAAGTATGATACTATAGCTTCCAACCTTCTCCGACGCAGGGTCTGGGTTGCTTGCCTGTGTCCTCGTCGAAGCAGTGTGCGCTGTTCAATTGTTAGTCTCTAGAATTGCCAAGCTGCTAAGCAACCAAGTGAGGGCATCCAACTCGTTGAAGCAGAAACTACTTGAGACTGAAGTAATCCTGAAACCGGATTGAGCCACGAAAACCCCAATCTTCCCACCCTCTGCCGCCCTACCATCTGACTAGAAACTCTGTGCCCTCGAGCTTGTGTCACCGTCCTTAGGCTTCCAGTGTGTCTGGTCACGGTCCTCCTCGCTGGCGGCCTTGCGCGTTGCGCGGCGGGCCTGGGGTCTGACGGGAGCCCTCCTTCCGTTAGTTTATCCCATTCCAGCTCCTCGCGACAAAGAGGGGTCAGGCTGACGGAATTCTGTCGGGTTCCATTCTACGGATCCTGGAGTCTTTCCTTTGACATTCCACTCCTCTCCTCGGTGTTTGCATCGCACCTCGAAATCCTCCAGTGATCGTTCTGGCAGCTGCTCCGGGCAGCAGCGCTTCATGTGACGCCTGGCCGGGGCCGAAGATCCCAAAAAGGAGCCCCCGGAAACCCGGACTCCGAAGAAAGCAAAAGATCCCCAAACAAGGAAGACGTGAGAAACTGCTATACTAAAACATGCTCTCTGCACACTGAAGGCGCAAAACGAACAGAATTTATATCCCTCGAGTCCTACCACGCTTGACTCCAAGCATTCTGGCACCTCAAATCCGGCACTCGCTGACGGCATCCGGGGCAGACTTCGCCAGCTCCGGTGGCCGCCTATTCAAAACGTCGACGCAGGTTTATAGGGTTTAGGGTATAGGGTTCAGCATCTCTTCGCGCTTTCGGGTAGTATTTGCGGGCCTTGGGACTCACAATAGGAGTGGGTTGAAGTGTTCATGGTGAGAGGCTTTCTGAGACGAGATTGAAAGTATTTCGGGTTCAGGAGCTGCAGCAGAGGAGCTGAGACAGCAGAAAGCGGTCTGCCTTGCCCATCCCCCCTCGAAACGGATAATTAGGAGGGTTCGATCGAAACATAAACTTTGCGGGCTTTGGAGATGCAGGGTTCTAGGGCTGCATGCTTTTCTAGATTGGGGTTGGGCTTGGAGTGCAGCTGTCAGCACTGTGCTTGCGGTTTCCAGACAGGCTAAGCCTGTAGACATCTGGCCCCTCCCGATGTATAAAGCACTCCGAGTTCAATACACAAGGCTTTGCTCAAATCCAACAGAGACCATTCTTATGCAAAAGATATCCAGCTGCCACTGAGCCGTGCAGAAAAAGCAGTCCTGAGCCGTTACTTGGTCGAATCCCGAACATGCATCAAGCCCAAAGGTTGAGTTGCTTTGCTCCTCAAGCTTCCTTCTGATCTGTTCGAGAGATCGATCAGATCCCGAGCGGAAGGAAAGTGAGACTCTGTAGCCACACTGCAGCCTCAAAGGGGTACTGTCTTGGCGTGCTGGGCATCAGGAGATCTAGCTTTCATGGCTTCTTCAGCATAGACCCCCTGCTTCTTCTCAGTGCATGAGCTCGCAGATCTCGGCGTCGTGGAGACCGTCGTCGCGGGAGGAAAGGAACAGTTCAGAGGGGGGTTTGCCCTCCCAACGGGGTCGGAGCTTGCACGTCGTCCACAGCGGCCCTGGCTCGCGACGTCTCCTTGGCCGGAGACCTGCTTTGCCGATAGATGCTGTTCTCGGGCATTCCGCACCAAAACAGGCAGATCATGAAGACGGCAGCAATGTCTGTAGTCTCTAATCGGAAGATGTGTCGCCATCCCGAATTGGGATTGCACACATGGCGCGGTTATCTTCGGCGATTCCGTGGACTCGTCAAGTTGTCAATGACGATCGCCTTGTGACCAAAGATCGCATCGCGGGTAGTGGGACCTACACTCCTATAGACTATAGACTTAACACTCAGACAGACTGTTGCATCGTGAAGGACGCTTTCCTTCACCACCTCTACTACTGCTTTTCTCTTCTCTTCTCCCCCAACCTCCCCTCCTGGCCTCTAACCCTAAACCCTATAAGCCCTAACCCCTAAGCCCTAAACCCTAAACTCAAAAACCCTAAACCCTAAACCCTAAATCCTGGCCTTGTCTGAGTTGATGTAGAGCTTGGCATCCCTCGTGGCTCTGTTGCGGGGAACCTTGGTCTCCAGCACGTAGCTCTCGCCCGGGACCAGCTGTGCAAACACGATCACCTGGCTATCCATAGGCCGCCCCCAAGTAGTTCCCTTTTTTGGTTTATATTCAGAATCCTATTTATGGTTTACATTTGGAATCCTATAAGGTAATCCCAAAAAGGAACTACTTAGGGGCCTGTGGGTAGCTCCTAGACTTTGCAATCCAGAGCTGGGCCGGCTTAAAGAGATTTTCGTGTCAATCTTTTTGACTGCCGTGGTAATGAGTCATGGTGAGGGCCCATGTAAGTATCCGCTTCCTATAAAGCTCCGGATCTACAGACATACTGTTGATGATCGAAATCCTGCATTACCTTAAGGACCCAAAACTATGGGAATTATGGTATATCCTTATTATTATGGGTCATGCAGGATTTAAAATTTATATCATCAACCGTAGTTCAAAAATCTTGATATTCATCCCGGCAGCGGCTGCACCAGACAGTTGGTAATACCTCAGTTGCTCTTGAGGCCCGAGCGCTGCACGAGCCTTGCCTGTAACGTAGGCTTGCAAGTCTGACTTTGCCTCCTACCAGCGAAAGTCTGACACCCGAAGCTGAAAGTCGCATATTTTTTTGGGCGGCTACTATAGAAATCATATGTATATACACATATCACATATCTCATGTATTTTTATCTCTATATCTATCTATCATAGGAATCTTGAAAGAACAAGCCCCAGGGGCTGGTCGGCTTCGGTGGGCCGGAGCTTCACGCAGTAGGGAGCTGGGCGCTGCGGGTGCGCACTCAGGAGCTCCAGGAGGGGCACTTCGCCTCTCTTTTGGCAGGGGCTTTTGGGCTTAAGGGGTTTTAGGGTTTTTACTTACTACTTCAACGGTATGCCGGG